CAAATTAGAATCGATGACTTATCGTATTTTCTACATGTCTTTTCCTTGCTATTATAGCTTCTTTGTGATTATAAGAAAGCGTAGCTTTTTCAGCAAAAATAATTAACTTTATATTGTTGTATATAAATATAATATTTATAAAAATAATAAAAGTTTTTATAATATAGTAATAAATTTCTTTACATAATTTCAATACTTTTAACATGATTACATTAATAATTATAACAAAAAAAAATCGAATTTTACTAAAAATTTAAAAAATATTTCTTATATATTGTATTAAATAATTTAATACGATGAAATCAAGTTGCACTTAAAGTTTTGCTCTCCCTATTATTTATCTTAATATTATTTAGACAATACTGCACAAAAAACTAGTCCGATAAAAATATTTCTAGGAACTAATTACAGATAACCACCTTTATTAACGATATTGCCTGTAAAGCATAAGAAACACCAAAGCAATAAAACTATATTCAAAACGTTTATAATTTTCATAAGTGAAATCAAAATAAAACATCACCAACCCAAAACATAGGTATATATGTTAAAATCGAAAACCAGTTAACCATTTGGCATTTGAAGATATGTATGTAAGATATAAATTCGAACTTAAAAATAGCTATGAATTAAATAAATCCTATAAATCCTGCTGCACAATATAATAAAACTTAACAACTTAAAAGATTTGTACGTATACATGACTAATATACTTGTCGGGTATGTACATGGACTAGTGACATAAACAGAGATTCAAGTAAGAAAATCCTTTTGAAAAACCATTTAAAGTTTATATAAAAACTTAAAAATTTTATAATTGGAGTTTTAAAAAATTAAAGGAAAAGCGCTGACTCTAAGCTACGATTTTAGCAGGTCACAAGTTCGATTTCTGGTTCTTGCAGTCTCAAAAGATTATTTACGAATAATTAAATACAACTATTGTCAAGAAAAAACCTCTTTATTGGAAAAAATGCATTATAGGTTGAAATATTTTACAAAACATTTGTACCCACAAAACTTTCTCTATACACGGTATAGACATTGACGTTACCTAGAGGACATATGCGGCGATTCCCTTTCCTAAAAGTCTAGCCGAAGAAATATAATGAAAAGGGAACTATTGCGCAATGACCTTCACTAATTATTTAATATAATAAATATTTAGATATGAAAGATATGTGCAGGGAGCATTGAGCAGTGATTCATTTTAATGCAATATCCTTGTTTTTTAATAAATAATATAATAATGAATAATAATGAATTGTGGAATTCTGGATTCTGTTCATCTTGTTAAAATAATAGCATTAAATAACTCATAAGAAACGTGAAGTATGTGCTGCTAAGCAAATGAGTTCTCTCCATTAAAGAATATTCGGGACTGGAACAATACTTTTAAAAACTTCGTTATAAAGTAGAATTCGTTATAGAGATATCTGACTGTATTAATATATATATATATATATATATATTTATGGTATGCATAATAGTATTTTATTATAAAAGTACATTTCTCTATAAGAGTTCGTACATATAAAATTATTAATATTTTTTCTAATATTTCTAATATTAAATATGAAAGAATGAATGAATAAAGAATGAATTTTGAAAAATTTAGTTTAGATATACAACAAATATACATTTATACAAATATACATAAATACATTTAGTGTTTATTATTTGTTTGTAGTGCATTAGTTAGGTTAATTTGAAATTATCGGGCTGACCGTGAGACTCGCATAGACTCTAGTGTCTATGCGTGTATGGTCTCTAGTGATACCAAATAGTTTATCAAACTTCTATGTAAATTTTGTAGTTTGAAACAGAACCACCAATCACTTTTTAAAGAAATTTTTTAAAGCTTTTTTTAAGCGCGTATTTAGAACAAATCTTATTGGGACTTGGGTCGAGACTCTGGGTGCCGTAGATCTTTTACGCACACAGTTATCAGTTACTTTAGTATTGTAAATTATTATATACATTATTTTCGCTCTGATAGATTATTTTATAACATCATTATAATTTTAGTAGGGTAAATCAAATATCTTATATATCTTATTGGGATCAGATCTACGACTCTGGGTATCGTAGATCTAGTATATATACAGTGATCAGTTAGTGAAGTATTGTAAACTATTATATACATTATTTTTCGCTCTGAAAGATTATTTTAGAACATTATTATAATTTTAGTAGGGTAAATCAAATATTTTATAATATAAATCTTATCACTGTATATACACAGTGATTATTTAGTTAATTATCGTGAATAATTATATACACAATTTTCGCTCTGATAGATTATTGTAGAACATTTTTATATATCGAGTAGGGTAAATGAAATGTCAATATTGCCTACTGAATTATTTTTTTTGCAAAAATTATACGTTTTTTGTTTTGAGAATTTTACATAATATTCTGAGAATTTGTAAATACTACCGCCTGAGAGTAGAGATACTTATTTCGCATTGAGCATTGAAACAATACTAAGAATGACAACAAACAAGAAGAAATTACTGTTTACAAACAGATACATTTTTTTCTGTTATCAATTTGTTTGCATTTTTATAATTTGCATTTAATCAAATCTTTCTCTTGGGTTTTTTTTTCAACAACACAAATACGTGTATATATGGTGTATAGTCTTATATACTATATATATGCACATATTGACAAACATCTCTACCACAGAATAAATATGGAAATTAATGAATAATTAAAATTATATTTAAAACAATAAGAAGTGCAATTTACATGAACAGATGATTTATACAAAAAATCTCTAAGTTGTTTGTAAATTATAAATATATGTATATATGTATTTTATAATAAATATGTGTAAATATTGTGTATAATTTTAAATTTATTTATATATTAATTAAACTTAAAACAAAAATAAATTTAATTTACGTTATACCCACTAACTTATATTAAGTTTGTTTATATTATTATTTTCTGCTTAGTATTTTTAGAATCACGAGACCAATTAAATAATTTACATTTAATTTAATTTTAAATAAAAAAATATCACTTTTAATAAACAATTTATAAATAAGCCAATTTTCGTTGCCAATATAACCTAAGCATAAATTTTTTATTATTTTGTTTTTGGTTTCTTAAATTAAATTGTAATACTACGATGTAACGATATAATCATTCGTTTGTATGCCTTTCAATCTATCAACTTAAATCAGTACGAAATTCTAAATGTGACACTTTAAACTGCATAAAGCCACATATATCAATATGTATACGCCTGAATTAACATCTGGAGACATCAGGCAGAGTTCGCCCACGACACTTATTAACCCAACCAGGCCAAGCCTGAAAGCCGTAACGATTGAAGATCTGCATGGCGCAACGCGAGTCATCAGAAATTTCATCGTTCAAAAAATCTAAAATTAAAGATTTTCAATAAAAAAAGTTAAACAAAATAATAATTAATTATGCACAAATTTTAATAGTCTATTGTAAATTTAATATATTCATATTGGAATCGTAGAACGTAATGCTTTTCTTGTTTACTTTCTATGATACACACCTTCGCATTTTATATTGCAGACGCCTCCTTTCCGTCCTTTGCGACACCAATTTTTGCTGTTGATCTATTAATTCAATTTGATTTGTATTTAATTATATATATGTATATGTGATGTATATTTGAATTTATAAATCACTTATATTTACCTGAAAAAGTCCATAGCTTACACTTTGATTCGGTAATTGTAAGACTTTAGATGTACTCCTACCGCTCTCAGTTTCAACTAAGCAGACCCCTGAAAAAATAAATTTTCATTATGATTAGCAGAGTTTAAAAAAAACATATATTTTGCATAATAAAATATTAATATATTATAATTAGCTGTTATTATACATTATATATCTGTTTGTAAGTGAAATGTATTGACGTCAATGCTTTGACAGAAGCTAAAAAATAATAAGGAACATAAAATTTTATTATAATTATGCATATTATATTTATTTTAATCACCAATTATTTTTATTTATTAAATTTTTTCCAAATGTATAATCGATTAGCTTCACTCCATTAGATAAAAATTGAGTACAACGCCAAATCGATTTACGCGCGGAACTAATAAAAAACAATTTAGTGGAGTAGTCCGCAGTATAACTAATAAAATAACAACTTTCTGGAAAGAATCGACTTTAGTCTCCTTCAAGAATAACACCACCATCATTCCAGCGCTTTTCTAACATTTCGTTACTTCTCTTGTTGGTTAATTATGACCTTAAAATAGGCCTTAGTTTTGGCGCAGAGTTTATTGTCGGAGCCAAATCTCTTTCTTTAGAGCATTTTTTTGAAGTCTGCGAAGAGTTAGTAATAGCTGGGAGTCAAATTTGGCGAATACGGTGAGTGTGAAACCAATTCGAAGTATAGTTTCTGCAATTAGGCTATGATAGCCAACAATTTGTGACTGACACATTGTCTTGGTGAAAGAAGACTTTTTCTAGTTCATATAGGGCTGTTGCTTCGCGATTTACTCCTTTTGAAAATCGAGAGAATTCGGAAAATACTCCATTGTTATGAAAATGTCCTCAGTGAGAAATTGTATAAAGTTATGAAATTTGGAAATGCATCATTTAAAAGTTGGAATTTTTAAGATTTATATAGATTTTTCATTAATGGCACTGCCGTTGCGTTGTCATACGGACTAATCACACAATGTGTTAAATCTAAAATGTAGTTTTCAAACTAAATAAATAACTAGACTGATCTAAGTGTTACAAAATTTTAACAACACATGTATAACAGACCCACTTTCCCATCTACCTGACAAGACATTAATCGTAACACTATCCAAACTAAACCGGATTATGATAAGCTAAGGTATTTCTTTCTTTTCAAGTCCTTGCTAAAAATATAGCCTTTTTATTTATAATACCTCTGAACGCATCTGACTCTACCATATAATCAGTAATTGATGTTTATTAATTATTAGTCATTAAATGGTCACAATACAAATACCTATTTTTTAAAAGCTCTCTTCATTTGTAGGTTCCACCTTATAGTTAATATAGGATTCTAAGTTTCCTTTAAAGCCTCACAAATATCTGGAAAATTCAATCTTAACAATAATGTAATATTAATTTAAATTTTTTAAGATATTAAGATAATACTATGTCAAAAAATCAAGAAAACGATAATCAGTTAATAGAACACAAAATATGTATTGTTCATCAAAATTTATTATATCGCCTTTAAAGCAGACCACTTCCGAGAAAATGCACTTACACTAATGAATAACCCAATCAGCAAAACTTTTTTAAACGCATTTTTTTAAGATCGACTTCAATACTCGCCGCAAATTCTCTTTTATGTTATATGTCGACTAAAAACAGGTATCTCGAAGTGGGACTTAGAGTTATGAAAAATAAAAAAAGTCGACCAGAACCATATCAAGGGAGTGCGATGGCTTTTCGATAAGATATATTAAGTTTTTAGCCAGAATTATGTTCACAATTATGGTCTTGTGAGATACCATCTGCTAAAAAAGTATCAGGATTTTGTTGTTTGTTAACTACTCCTTAAGTAATAGACCTTTTTCAAAAATTTGTTATTTTGGTACACCCTTTCTTGACATATGGTACAAATTTGAGCGCCATCTGTCAATTAGTTTGTTTACAGCAGATTTTTACTATGGAAAATTCTTGTTGTACGCGTTTTTTTGACCAAACACGGCACCACTGTCATCGCTCAGGCACCATATCCAAATCAGGCCAGATCTGGATCTGTGCAACTTTTTCCTGTTCCCGAAACTCAAAATCCGAGTACTTTTTGAGCAAAAGGTAGTTCGTTATTGTGGTGAAAAAACTTTGTGTTTTTTCTTTTTTTTTTTGGTGTTTTTCGAAAAATTTGCTCTCTCATATACGCTATAACGCTCAGATAGTATTATTTTTTTAGTGTCTCATTTCACCTTCAGGTAAGAGTTCCGAGTATATACCACGACTATGATCAAAAAAACTGTCACGTCACCTTTACTTTTTACTCTTACTCTTAAGTGCTTTTTTTGGTTTCGGTTCAGTTGGAAGGCGTTTCGAAGCTTGTTGACTAGTTTGCATGTCAAACTCATGAATCAATGTCTATATTTAAAATCTTATTAAGTGGTTGCATGAGTTACTTAATCTACTTCATAGACTTTGCTGCTCTCCCCTCCATGCCACTACATAACACTCTTACTGAATTAGTTTTTTAAACAGTTACTTAAATTTATTTATTAAATTAATAACAAAAAATTTATTAATAATAATCTACATTAAATTAAGTTTCGAAAGATAATTCTAATAATTTTATAATGCCACCTCTAACACCCAACTTTATTATATGCCATGCATCCAGCTTATGGTATGGTAATTATGCTTTCGAACCCAATATTTGGTATTCTAAACACTAAAAATATTTTTTATAGTTCATGAAAACAGTATTTAAATTTAATAAAAAATTTAATAAAATTAATAAAACTTTCACAGCAAATTAACAAAACTCCAGAAAAATGTGCGAACATAAAAGTCAATTACGGTTTTGTGTCAGTTGGTTAAGGTACGCTGACTCTGAGCTTCAAATTTGGTAGGGCGCAAGTTCGATTTCTGGTACTTGCAGTCTCAAAACTTTATTTACGAATAATTAAATATAAGAAATAATTTTAAGACCACTGATGATGCGTATTAGGCAATACTCAAAACAGCTGTATGGTCAGCCAAAAATTCAAATAATTAAAATAATATAAAAATAATTTTTGTTGTTGTAGTTTACTACTTTTCGAAAAATCTCTTTATAAAAAATTTATTTAGTTAAAAATTGTATAAATATTACATTGAAAGTAAAAATATGGATCATAATAGAAACAATATAAAAAAGTAAATAGTTTTTTGTAAATATTATTTATTTTCATCGTCATTTGTTTTCTGATGATGACTTTAGACTTTGTAAAATAAATCGTGTTTTTTTTCTTTATTAATATGAACCAATTAGTCTACAAAAACACTTTACTAAATTTTATTTCCGAAATTTTGTTAAAAATTGGTTTCTGTTTTTAACTTCTTTTGTAACTTCTACTTCTAATTTTTGAGTACATATATTCAATACATATATTCATATTTCATACTCAAGACCTCATATTCATGCTCAAGAAGTCAAAATACGCTAATATATGTCTTATTAACAAAATCTGCTATAAAAATAGTTCTGTACAGTACCAGGTTCATATGAGAGTAAAATAAACCATCAATCTATTTGATATACTCATATTTACTCATACTCATATATACTAGTATTTTGAAAACAAATCACAACTTACAGTTCGATAAGTAACTCCTTGGAAAATCATGACGCAGCAGCTCCTTTGCTAGCTGGCATCTAGTAAGCATTTTCGCATCTACACTTTTATATGTCGAAAAACACAGTACTAAAAAAATTATAGAAGTCAAGAATTTGTTCTGTAACTTCATTGCTTTGCTTTATGAGTTCGTGATTTATGAGTTTTTTTTATTGAAATTTATTAATATTTTAAAGGAATATTAATATTTAAAAAAATTTTTTGCGTTTCATTAAAAACAATTTTAACTTATCAACTTAAAATAAATTTCGCGTTCACTTTAAATATATAAATATTAAATACAATTTTAAACCCAGGATATGCGCTAGGATAACAGCAGTTAGTTGACCCCTATAAGCTTCGTTTATCTCTCCGTTCTCCAGGCACAACCCGTTAGTTTAAAATTTTTAAAGTTCTGCGTGCTAAATTTAAAATAATACTAGATGCGTGAGACTACATCTGAGGCTTTTAAAGCCTCGCATTGTTAATTTTCATATATTTCTTTAGAGAATTTAAGATCACAAGACGCATTCACATTACTTTTAATTTATTTTTATTTTTTTTATTATTATTTATTATTTTTTTTACAAACATTTTTATGCTCTTGTGCAGTAAGATTTCGCAATTGTCACTTGATATTAAGCTTAAATCACATCGTCATCAATGGTACACCACATGATGATAGTTATATATTTTTATGATCAAAACAGAAGAGCAGTAATAATGTTTGTATTGAAAAGAATATTTAATGGCATGTGGACTTAATTTAAAAACAAATTTGTGGCATTATCTGGTTATATATGTTGATTAATTTGCAGTTTTGTAGTGGGCACTCCATTGAAAATATTTCCATGGAAAGTATGTAACAGTCATGAATGATTATCATTGGGTTAAATAAAATAAACTTAAAACTCAACAGTGTCTACATATAAAAATAATATAAACCTAATCAATTAAAAATATAATTATAGTTTAAGTAGAAGGTCAGGTCAAAGTACTCACAACGATTCCCATCAAATCAAAAAAATATGCGAAACTAAAAACTAAAACAGATCAAAAAATATTCAATTTGTTTATAAAAAATTGGTTAAATATGTTGTATTATTGTTAAACAGTTAAAATACTGGACAATTACACTGTCTTTAATAATAATATGGTTATATCTGGGAGCCCACATCACTATCGACAACTATCTGTTCGAAGTTGTGAAAGACTTGTTTTGTTTTAACACTAAAAATAATATCAGAGTCGAGATTTAATGAAGAATCTCTCGATGTCAATAGATTTTACTTCGGGCAATTTAGAAGAAAGTCCTGAACAAACAAAAGTCACAAAAATCATTATTGTCCCGATGTATAATGCAGAAGCTTGGACAATAACCAATAGTGAAGAGAAAGCAAAAAGACCTTTGAGAGAAAAGTTCTTTGGAAGATCTAGGGTCCCTTGCGCATTGGCAACGCGTATCGAATTAGATGGAACAATTAACTGTACAAGCTTTACCGCAATATTGACATAGTTAAGTGCATAAAAGTGGAAGCGAATGGAAGAAAGTGCTTTCGCTAAAAGGGCGTTTGATTCAGCAACCACTAGTAGAAAATGCGGTAGAGGATGTTCGCATCTTTTCTGGAAGAACAGGTGACCAACAATACTACCAACTGGCGATAGTAAGCCACTGATTAGATTGAACGCACAAGATTTTAAATTAGCAGTTAGGGAAACAAATTTTAAACCACATTTTATCAGATATAAAAAATAACCTTAGTAACTTATTTTAATAACTTAATAATTTATCTGACAATATGATATATGACGAGGTATTCTTTCAGTGATAAATCATGTGTTGATGAATATAGCTCTATTCTTGGAGATAAAATATTCGTTAAGCTCTACCTTTAATAACTCAATAATTTCTCTGACAATATAACATATCGCATTGTTTCGTTGAAACTAAAAGCCATGCAGAGTATATTCACCCACACATGGAAAAAGAAATCATTGTTCATGGCTTTTTCCATATAAGACAAACTTTTCGCAGACATTTTTCTACAAGTACTCTATTTCTTTATAATATAGAAACCAAATCGATCAGAAACAGAAGAATACTGTAATCAACACTTCAATATTGCTAGCAAACTGGCTTTACCATTAGCAAAGAAGGGACCAATTAAAGGAGTACATTTAATTGGTCCAGAGCTATTCTATGGGTAACAAATAGCTTCACAAATAACTTATTATGTGAACGGGAAAAACAAAGTCTACTTGAACACTGAAGAGCTCAAATAGGCATGCGGCAGTCAAGAAGATTCATTGATCCTGAACACATCAAAGTTGACGCTATCCTGAACCTTAGCGGAAACGATATTAAAATCTACATTGTAGAATCAATTACCACATGAAGAATTTAGGTGCGGTAGAAGGTGATACCTGTCGACTCTGTCTTGAGGAGAAGGTAACATCAAAACATGTTCTATGCAACTGCCCAGTGGCGGCTAGGCGTACCTACCTTGGAAGCTAAGTCCCAAATCAAATAGGTAAAATCAAGCCCATAGCAATTACGAGATTTATAAATAGTCTAGAATTGTCTTAGTTGGGACTTAGGCGCATAATAGATCTTTTAGGTCGGGGTGCATTCATACCCTAATATTTAATAATAATAGATAATATAGCTAAAACCTGAAGCGATAACAAAGGTTATATACAGTTTCTTCTAAAATTTGAACCTTTTGAACAAATATGCTCGCTTTATAAATAACTTTATAGAGTGAAGTTTCATAAAATATATATTAACAAGGCTATATAACCTGCTATATATGTGTATCTTCTACTAAAATTTAAATCTGATTTTAAATCCGATTCAAATTTGATTTTCCTATACAGATTTAAAGTATGCTCAGTTAAATTTAAGAAAGAATTCATTTAAGATTTATTTTTAAAAAATTTTAGCTTAATTGAGTAAACTTTCGCTTTCGCGCCTCTTCAACATTCATTCATTTTTTATAGTCACCCCAGTTACACATGTTCACACCCGTAATAAATCTTTTCACACAAATGAAATAACGCGCTTAATTGGCAAATTGGCTTGTGTCTAACAATATAATAAAAACTTTATTGAATTGAAAAAAAAAAAAAATATTTGAAGAAAATAAATCTTGACCCAAAAAAAGTTGCAACTCTTCCCAAGACGCAACGATTATTGAGCGCATATCAGTGTTTATCTCTAAATTTATGCAATTTCTTGTGTAAATTTGCATCTGCTATCACCACGTTCTTTATGGCTCTATTAGGGTTAAACGTATTAAATTAAATAAAAATTACTGTAAATTTCCATAAACTAATTTTATTGTTTACTTCTTTTCTATTTTAGTATGAGACTTTTGCAACTATGTTTAGTTTGGTTGATGATATCTATCGTAACATCGAATGATCTAAAGGATCTGCTCGAAGATAGCATAACACCACGGTCCACTACTACCTATACTTCAACATTAACACAGACCACACCAAGAACATTAATAATGAATAAATCATCAGGAAATATGTTAGGTACTACCAAAACTACAAATCTTGCCATGTTAACAGAAAGTGGTAGTAATAAATTAAACCCTGATCCTTTAGTACCACATCCTCCACCAGCCATTAAAACGAATTTGAAATATTTTAATAAAAGCTCACCAAAGAAACGCAAAGCCGAAGAAGTTTCATCGATACCGATAGGTGATGATAATACTGAATGGAAATGTCCAAACATAACAGGTTCTCGTAGTTTAGAATGCGGTTGTGATTTACCGCATACATTACGCTGCAACGGTGACCTACATGGCTTAACAGTAAGTATTTTTAATTAAAAAAAAATTTATTGATAATATATATATACATAACATAGGTACTTGCTGAAAATTTACGTGTTTCTCCATATTCCGTTTCTCTCCTGGATTGTTCCCTACGCAATGTTACGTTTTTGAGCGATGCCAAAATATTTGAGGGAGTTTCACTGCACGGTTTAGTGATTTCTTCAGGAGAAATTAAACGTGTACATAAATATGCTTTCTTGGGCATCAAAGGACCCTTACAAGCTTTAGGTAAATAAATAAAGATATAATTTTTATGTTTCTTACAATAAAATTAATACCATATGTTAGGTTTGCCAAGTAATGCCTTATTAAGCGTACCTTGGAGTTCGATTTCAACACTTACAGCTCTAGAGCGTTTAGACTTATCCACTAATAGAATCAAAGCACTTGGTACCTCAGATTTTGCTGGTCTTATTAATCTTGTTTATCTTGAATTAAGTAACAATCAAATTACAAGCATATCCCAAAGAACATTTTCAAATTTGGCAAAATTGGAAGTACTCAAATTAGGTGGCAACCGATTAGGTGATTTTCCCACAAGTCTGAAAGCATTAACTCAATGCTTTAATTTAAGGTAATTTTTAATATATTTCCCTTATTTTAGTTTATTTTATTCTGAATATAATTTTTGTTCTGCTTCTTTTTTAATAGGGAATTGGACTTAACTGCCAATAATTTAAATGGACCACTCTCCAGCACAACAATACCTGGTTTACGTAATTTAGAAATACTTAATTTAAATCGTAATCTTATAAAGAGCATACAAAATAAAGCACTACAGAATTTTTCACGGCTTACTAGCTTATATCTACGTCACAACCAAATTGATGTATTACAGGATCATGCCTTCTATGGCTTAGGTTCTTTACAGAATTTGGACTTGAGTTATAATGGTATTGTAGCCGTTTCAAGCGCTTCTCTACAACACTTAACGCGCCTAACTACGCTGGACCTTACACATAACTTTTTAAGAGCACTTACATCCGATCTTAT